AGTTGCATTTTATATATATATATATATATATATATATATATATATAAATTTATTAAAAGTCATTACATCTATAGTCCTATAATGCAGACAGAATAACAGGCAATATTAGAGTAAATTTGATGATGTTTTAAAAGGAAGGGTATTTTTTTTTGGCTTTCAAAGCAGCTCTCTCCTAAAGTTAGCTATTCAACAAATAGGTACCTATTAAGTACCAGGCACTGTACTAGATTCTGGGAATTCAGTGATGAAAATGAAAGCCTCTGCCCCCTTGGAGTGTATATGACGGGAAAGAAAACTGAAAAGCAGTAATTCTATAGGACAGTCTACGGTTGGATGAGGAAGGTATGGCTAGACAGCAATTTGCTGAGGGAGTGGGGAAGAACTGGGGAATTAGTGGCCTGCAAACTCAAAGTGAGTCTTTGTAAGATGGCAGCCCCCAAATGTCCCTTCTATACCAGGCTCCATTAATAGCGGAAGAAAGTCTAGGACTAAGGAGATGATGGTCCCACTGCTTTCTGCCGTGGTCAGAATGCATCTAGTGTTCTGTGCTCTGTGCTGGGCACCCCACTTAGGAGGGACATTGATAATTTGGAGAACAAAGTAGGGCAACAAGAAGAGTAAAACTAGAAGCTAGTAGAAATCACAGAGGAGGCAAATGGTGCCCATTAGCGTTGCCCAGAGGGGGAGGGCCGACCCTCACTGGAGATCCAGCAGAGGCTGGAGGGTCATGGGTTCTTACTCATGAATGTGTTGTACTAGATACCCCTGAAGACCCTTCCAACTCTTAAACTCTGTAACCGTCTAAGCAAACTCTCCTCCAGGTAGACAACCTCGAGTCAAAGTTTGGCAAGCATCTTATCCATGGAAGGGAGATGAATAGCCCAGTCTTTGCAGAATGCTTCCCAAACACTGAGAGATGCCAGCTACTAGAGGCCTCTTAGAGAAGAGAAAAGGACAGTTAGGGATTTTTTTTTATAAACTCCCCTTGTTGTTCAGTCATGTGACTTCGTGACCTCATTTGGGGTTTTCTTGGCAAAGATCCTATAGTGGTTTGCTATTTCCTTCTCCAGTTCATTTTACAGATGAGGAAACTGAGGCAAACAGGCTGGAGTGGCTTGCCCAGGGTCACACAGCTAGTCAGTGTCTGAGGTCAGATTTGAACTCGGTAACATAAGTCTGGAACTCTATCCACTGGGTCACTTAGTTGCCCATAAATTCCCAAAGGATCACTGAATTTAAAGGTGGAAGGAACCTTCAAGAAGATATATCTCAACTCCTTATTTTTAGAAAGGATGAAACTGAGTCTTCGATGAGTTTAATTATTTTTCCCTGTACTGTACAGTATTTGTAGAGGAAAAATCCTTGGATTCATTGTCTGAAGACCTGGGTTTGAATCCCAGTTGGGCAATGTATCAAATAGTTCCCAACCTTAGCTCTGCCCTTTTCTTACTCTGTTATCTTGGGAAAGTGACTTCATCTCCCTGGTCTCATGTTATCTCAAGCAGACAATGAAGAAAGTGAAGGAAAAAGAACCCCCAATCCCTCACTGAGATACAAACAAAGACAGAGAGAGAGGGAGAGCTTGAAAGCTTCTTACAAATAAAAGAGAATGAGAAAGACATGGGGGGAGTGAGGAGTGGAGCCTGGACCCCACCAATCAGAAGGGAGGGCATGATGAAGGCACCTCTGAGTGCTGGGGAGAAAGTGGGGAATTCCTGGAACTGAGGAGTGAAGCTGGAGGTGGGCAGGGAGTTAGCTTGTGGGAGTCAGAAGAGGGAGCAAGGCAAGAGAGAAGAGTTGGTAGCAATATGGTGAGCAGGTATGGCGGCCCCCATCACTATCAATTAGGAAAAATATTGATGGACTGGGGAGTTTTCAGTGGAAGGTAACTGGGAGAGTGATAAGCCTTGAATGAATGAGAAAGACCTTAAGGATGTTTAGCCTGAAGAGGAGAAGCCTTGGGAAGGGCATGAGAGCTGTCTTCAAGGGTCTAAAGGGCTATCATGGAGAAGAGGGAAGGCATATGTTTTGCCTGGCCTGAGAGGATAAATCCAAAAGCAACTGGTAAAAGTTGCAAAGAAGTAAATTTGGCTTTTGGTATAAGAAAAACTCCTAATAACTTGAGCTACCCCAAAGTGACATGGCCTGCTCTGAGAAATGGTGAGTTCCCCTCCTTGGAGGTCTTCAGACAAAAGCTCAATGACCTCTTGTCAGGCATCCCAAGATCATAGATTTAGAGCTGCAAGTGACCTCCAAGGCCATTGAACCCAGCTCTCTGACCCTAGGTGGCCCAAGGGATCTGATGTAATAGGAGCATGGGTTTGGAATCAGGACCTAGGTTCAAATCCCACCTTCACTGCTTACTACCTGGCTGGTCTTAGGCAAGTCATAACCATTCTGGACCTTAGATTCCTCATTTGCAAAGGGAGGAGATTGGACTAGATGACTTTGAAGGGCCTTGTTAGTTTTGTTTCCTTAATCCGCAGGATAGTGGTGTTGTCCATAGGAATGGGAAGGGTTAGAGAGAAATTGGAGTTTCATTTCCTATAGCCTCCCACTCCATCCTCTGGAGCTCTGGGGTGCCTTAAGCCTCTGGGTCACACTGGGGCAATGACTCTGCTTCTGCCCTTCTGAGTGGGACATCTGCAGGTTGTCAATATTGTGAGTCCTCCTTTCAGCAGCAAACGTTGCCCAGGTGGACTGCAGCATCAGCTGAAACATCACAGCTTGCCTGAGAATGCCTTGGTGCTGACTAACTTAATTACATATTTGCTGTTCCACCCATTTCCTGTGTTGGAAAACCAGCCAGTTTCTTAATGAGTTGAATACATCAGCCACTTAAGGGTGAGGAGCTCTGGGGGCAGCCATAGAAAGCAGAGAATCTGTTGTCCCCAAGATGCAACAGCCGCCCAGAGTGGCCACGGCAGCACACCAGCTTGGTTGGGAAGGCCCCTTTTCAGTGTCCCCCTAACCCCAACCTGTACAGGAATCTCCTATTCAAATGCCCTGGTGGGGTTGGGGGGAGAGGCCATCTAGACTTGGCTTGCAGATATCCCAGGAGAGGGAAGCCCAGGCTGCTTGGAGACAGCCTTCATTGTTGGATGGCTCTTCCCTGTATCATCCCTAAATCTTCCTGATTGCCCCTTTTTCTGTCCTCTGCCATCAAACAGAAAATTCAAATCTGTCTTCCAGGTAACAGTCCTGTAAATACTTCAGATCATACTTTTAGACCAGCAGGAGAGGCAGTGTGGTACAGTGAACTTTGAACTGAAGGGCTCTACCATTTACTATCTGTGTGACCTTGGGCAAGTCATTTACCCACTCTGAGCCTCAGTTTCCTTATCTGTAAAATGAAGGGGTTGGACTCATGGCTTCTGAGGTCCCTTCTGTCTCTAGATCTGAGTTCTTGAGACCCAACATGAAAAAGTTTGATGTTAAATACCCTCATCGATGAATTGAGACCGGCTTCTGGATCAATCAGAGTGGTGAGCTGTCCTTGGATTGGAGGGGACTGAAGCAAGGTTAAATGATTTGCCCAGGGTCACTAGGTCTCCCTGACTCCAATTCTATCCCCTTATAACCTCCCCTCACTGCCTCTCAGGCACTCATGTCTGCTCTAAATTCCTATTTCCATGAATGGTGCCATCACCAGCACCATGGTATTAGAAGGGAAAATTCTACATTTGGAGTCAGGAAGCCTTGAGTATGAATCCTGCCTCCGGTGTGTGTTAGATGTGTGACTGTGAGCAAGTGAATTCATCAATTCTATTCAACTCAATTCAATCCAGTCAGTTTTTATTTAGTACCTATTGTGCCCTGGGCACTGTGCTGGATGCTGGAGGCACAAAAACAACAGAGTCAGTGGAAAAACCCCAAGAGTCCCAGCCCTCCCTCAAGGAGGGAGAAAACAGTTTGTACAAAGAAATGAAATGTAAATGATTTGAAAAATAATTTCTGGGATGAGGGTCCTTGCAACTGTGTGAGATCAGAATAAGCTTCTTACAAGCTGAGTTTGGAAGGAAGGTGAGGATTGTCTGAGGAAGACGAAAGAAGATTCCAAGCAGGGGGAGAGCCTGTGCTCAGTCACAAAGGCTGGAGATGGAGTGTGGCTGTATAGGAAGGGCTGCAGGGTCCACAGCAAAGGATGCTGGGTTTGAAGTCTGAGGCCCTGGATTCAATCCCAACTCTGACACTTACTAGCTGTTTAACCATGATGAGTTGCTTAGCTTCTCTGGGTTCAGTTTCCTTGACTGTAGAATGAGGGGTGTGGACTAGAGGACCTTGAAGGTCACCTCCAATTCTCATTCCATAATCCTAAGTAGGGCAGTTTGGCTGGAACAAGAGCAATCCAGAAAGCTGGGCTATGCCACCCTGGGGAGGACTTGAAAAGAGGAGGAATTGGTATTTTTTTTCCCTCAAAGCAAGAGTAAGCCAACTGCAGCTTCTTAAGCAGGGAGTAACATTTTTTCAGTCATTTTTCTGTTGTATCTGACTCTTTGTGACCCCATTTGGGGTTTTCTTGGCAGAAATACTGGAGTGGATTTCCTTCTCCAGCTCATTTGACAGGTGAGGAAACTGAGGCAAAAAGGGTTAAGTGACTTGCCCAGGGTCACCCAGCTAGTAAGTTTCTGAGGCCAGATTTGAACTCGGGTCTTCCTGACTCCAGGCCCAGTGCCCTATCCACTGCATCACCTCGCTGCCCAGCAGTGACATGGTCCCTTCCTAATCTAATCCTGTGACCCTATGATCCTCATAATTTTATGAACATGCTTAGAGTCATAACAAACATGTGTATTATTCTACCGTGACACTCCTTATGTCTCAGACACAGAGGGAGTATCGCTCCATCAGCAAGCATTCATGAAGCACCTACTATATGCCAGGCACCAGCACATGATCTGGTCTGCTGCTCAGGCTAACCTCCGAAGTAGAGGGTTGCTCTCTGAGGAGTTGTCTTTCACTGTTGTGTGACATCTATTTTTTTTCTTTTCCATTTCCAGCAATCTACAATTACAATGCATCCCAAGACGTGGAGCTGTCTTTGCAGATTGGAGACACAGTCCACATCCTGGAGATGTACGAAGGTAAGGCAGGAGACACATTGCTGCCCCATGACAAAGGACTCTGGGGAAGGATGTTTACTGATTAATCTTGGGGCTTTCAGAAGTCAACATGCCTTTTCTCCTTCCTGTAATGTTGCAGTCCCACACCAGGAAGGATTGAGGTTGTAAAACTTCATACCTCAAGGGCTTTTAGCCAGGCCAGCTGAGCAATTGAAAGGATTCCTGATTCTATCTGTGTGCCTGCTGTATTTACTATAGATAGAGCCTTTCCTAGTCTTTCAGAGGCTCATGCATTTCAAGGTCTAAGGAACTATTCATTAGAGGCCATTTAGTCTGACCATTTTATAGTCTGAGAAAGTGAGACCCATAGAGCTGAAATGATTCAGCAAGTTTCAAACAGGATTTGAACCCAGTTCCTCTGACCCAACAGAGCTGTCTTTCCATTGTACCATACTGTCTCTGAAAAATGTATTACCTGGTGTTGGCCAGACCTTTGGTGAGGAGCTCCGCTGGTGCGCAGCTGGTGGATTTCATGGCTTTCCCACTTGGTAGGGTCTGCCCATGGAGGACAAGCCTCTGAGAACCTGGTGGTTATCTCTGCCATGATTGGGCATCGAAGGAATACTTGGATTAAGGAAACCAACCAAATAAAAGGTGTGTCTTGACACCAGGGTCCTGGCAATGAGGAGGAGAAAGTTGTCTGTCTCCTGACCCCCGGATTTGTAACAGTTAGTATTACATCTGAGAGTGGCTGAGACATAGGCACAGGTTCATCAGATGCTGCAGAAAACTGTTTTAAGGGCTTCAACCCGACTCCCACCATCCATCCACTGTGAGAGGCAAGGAGGTTTGTAGTAGAGTCAGGATAACTGAGGCTCCCATCTTACCGCTGACATTGGCTGGCTGTGTGATCCTGGGTAAATGACTTCCTGTCTCAGAGCTTCAGTTTCCTCATTTGTAATGTGGGGATCATAACACTGACTGCATAGGGTTGTTCTGGGGATAAAATGAAATCATGTCTTTAAAGTGCTTTGTAAGCCTCAAAGTGCTATATAAATGGTAGTCATTACTGTTGTGATTATTGGAGGCAACTGGTATCATAAAGATCCGAATTCAAATCCTCCCTCAGATATCCTTTAGTTATGAGACATCTCAGTTATCTGAGACATCTGACATCTGTAGTCATGAGGATCTCAGTTTCTTCATCTGTAAAATGGGGGGCGGGAGAGAGGACCTTTTTCCTCTGAGGTCCCTTCCAGCTCAATAATCAAAAATTCCATGGTCTTATTCTTTTCTTAGTTCAGCTAGAAGTCTGCGACAAGTTGCTAACCAGGCTGTCATCCTCTGACATTGGTAGTTCTCTGGGCTGCAGCACAGATGGAGAAAATGACCTGTTTTGTAAATGGACAAAATGATAGGGATGTAAGCTCACCAAAAGCCTCTCTGGGACAACTTCAGTCACAGATAGGATGATGCTAATAGGGAGGATGATTATATTAGTTCCAAAATACTGAAAGGCTGGGAAAGGAGGGAGTATGTCATCCATCTCCTTGTGGGCTTTGAATTTCCCTGGGGAAATCAGACCAGGCCTTCATTGGGTCCACAGAGTCCATAGGTATCCTGGAAAAAAGATCTCTCTTGCCATTGGATATGAATAGCCAATAGAGAGGCAGAAAGAGGCTATTCATAAGATAAATATACCTGAGAGTTCTGACTGACTGAGGAGTCCCAGGTGTGAGCTGGACCCTTGGGGTCATATTTAAGCTTTCTCTGTAGTTCCAGAGAAGTGTGTCATAATAGAATGAAGGGCATTGGGTTTGAAATCAGAAGTTATGAGGTTGTATCCTAATTTTAGGACTTGAGCAAAGGACTTGCCCACTAACAGCTTGAATTTCAGCCTTTTTAAAATGATTCAGCAGTCATTGGGGCTCCTTCCAGATACAAACTCTGTGATCCCAGAATTGCCTTCCTCACCAGTCACTCTCTTGCTCCAGCCCAGTCCCCAGGGGTACCTTGGGACAGGAATGACCTTTCCAAACATTCCTCAACTCTGAGCTAGTAAGCCTCAAGGCTCCAGAGAACAAACTCATGCAGGCCCATAATTCTACCAGTGACCAGGAATCTAGCTAAACCACTCATGGCAAAACTGAGGAAGCAAATTAGATGGCCCGGTGGATCTCACGGAAACTGAAAGGGTTCAGTATCAGCAGGAAGACATTGGAAAGAGAAGGAAGGTAATTAGAGTGCATCAGATACACTCTTCAGGGAGATTGGATTCCTCCTTGGGACCTTCACACAGAGAATAGCTGAGGGAGCTTGCATTCCCGTTAAGGTTAGTGGGGATCAAGTAACTGCCAGTTAGTGATTCTGTGGATGGGGGAAAGGAGGGGTCTAAAGACATGACTAAATTCCTATCAACTAACTCAGATTTTAGGAAGATGTGCACATAAGATATGAGCCAGGATGGGTAAAAGAACACTGTAAGAGAAGCTTCCAGTGTGATAGAGGTCAGAATGAATTGAAGGTAAGTCTCTAAAGGCAACATGAAAAGGGAAATTCACACACACACATACTCTGTTGGAAGCAAATGTTCTATGTACATAGATTGATGATAACAAATAATGGAAGGAAGGCAGAACTACTCAGCTCTTAGACTGCTCAAATTTTCTTTGCTGGCAAGATTCAGTGAAGATCATACTCAATTTGGATTCAGAAGGCTTTGAGTTCAAATCTAGATTTTACTGTTTACAACCTGTGTGACCTTGGGCATGCCTTTGGACCTCCATCTCATCATCTTTAAAATGTGGGAGTTGGATTAAATGGCCTCTAACATAATTTCCCACCCTAAATCTATTATCTTACAATCTTTGGATTTAGAATAAGAGAAGACCAAAATGTTTAATAGAGTTAAGTGCCAAGATAAATGAGGAGATAGAGAGCAATCATCTTTCCTCAGTGAATTCAAATTACTGCACTTGGATGAATTAGACCCTAGACTATGGAAACAATAGCCATATATGTGTGTGACTGTCAAGACCTTGTATGTGATCTCTGAAGGATCATGGAGAAAGGAAGAGGAGTCATAGGACTGTAAAAGGACCAATGTCCCAATATTCAAAAAGCGGAAGAGGGTTGTATCTATTATAAATTAGTGAACATGACTTGGACTCTTGGCAGGTTCCCCACCCCTGTTGTAGGACGTATTGTTAAAGGGATACTTTCTGAGTGTGCAGAAAGGGAAGTAGCAGAGATAGCCAACATGAGTACACGACAAAGTATGTCAAGATTTATCATTTTCCTAGCTGACAAAGTTACTAGAACAGGAGAATATGGTAGACACAGCATATCAAGATTGTAGCAGAGCACCTGATAAAACTCCTGTGCTATCCTTTTGAAAAGCTTAGAGAGATATTGACTACCTGACAATGTGGGAGATATATTTGAAACTGGTGAATGGCCCAACTCAAAGAAGAGCCCTAATGGGTCAATGGCTACTTTGAACGTCTGACTACCCCCAGAGGTTTGTGTTGAGTAACATTTTTTGTCATGACTTAGATCAAAGCACAGCTGACATGTTTAGCTAATTTGCAGACAACATAGAGCTGTTGGATGGCACAATTAACATCCACACAATTTTGGATAGCCTAGAATGATGTGTTAAATAAAATTAAATGTAATAGCAATGGATCTAATAGATAAAATTTAATAAAGATATATGTAAATAAAATCTTACACTTCTGTTAAAAATAATCAACCTACCAAAGACAAAATGGGGGAGGTATGACCAAGCAAACATTCTTTTTTCTTTTTTTGTACATAATATTATATTTTTCCAATTACATGTAAAGATAATTTTCGACATTTATTTTTTATAAGATTTTGAGTTTCAATTTTTTTCTCCCTCCCTCCCATCCCCTCTCCCCAAGATATTAAGCAATCTGATATAGGTTTACATGTGCAATCATGTAAACATATTTCCACATTAGTCATGTTGTGAAAGAAGAAACAACAAAAGGGAAAACCCACAAAAAACAACCAAAAAGTTAAAATAGTCTGCTTCCATCTACATTCAGACTCCATAGTTCTTCCTCTGGATGTGGATAGCATTTTCCATTGTGAGTCTTTTGAAATTGTCTTGGATTATCTAAGCAACCGTTCTTGTGAAGAAACCTGAGCATTTTAGCAGACCACAAATTTAAGACAAGTCAATGGTATGATAAAGGCATGTCACTGATGTCACAAAGATCCGAATTCAGGTCCTCTCTCTGATATTCCTTAGCTGTGTGGCCATGTGCAGGCCATTTCATTTTTCAGAGCTACTGCAATTTTAGGCTCAGTGTCCAGGAGGAGGAGGAAGAGGTGATTTCCCCTTATTTTCTCCCCTGCTCAGACCACATCTAGAGAATTGTGCTCAATTCTAGGAGGCAGCTACATGGTGCAATAGTGGGTGAAGTGCTGGACCTGGAGTCAGGAAGATCTGAGTTCAAATCTGGCTTCAGACACTTAGTAGCTGTATGACCCTGGGCAAGTCACTTAACCCTATTTGCCTGTTTCCTCATCTCTAAAATCAACTGAATAAGGAATAGCAAACCACTCCAGTATCTTTGTGCCAAGAAAACCTCAAATGAGGTCACGAAGAGTTGTATACAACTGAAATAATTGAACAACAACTCAATTGTGGATGCCATGTTTTAAGAAGAACAGTGATGAATGAGTTGGACACGTCCAGGGGAAGTCAGCCAGAATGGTAGCAGGCCTTAAAGTCATGCCACTTGTATTGGCTGAAGGAAGTAGGTATGTTTAGCCTGGAGAAGAGAAGACTTGGAGGAGGGCAGGACAGCCATCTTTTTTTTTTTTTCCTGAAATTAACAAACATCAAATAAAACGGGTATTTCCACATACATAATAGAGCAGAGGAACATTGGCCCTGAAGTTACAAATCTCTTTCTGTATAGTGCATTGTTCTTCTTAAGTATATGCCAAGGTCAACCTGCAACTGTCTTCAAGTGTTTTAAGGCTCC